CAGCTCTGTTTCTTGCCTGTACCAGAAACACCACAGGAGGGAGCAGCACATGCTTTAGTGCACTGTTGTGAAGTAACCTGTCCGTAAAGACACTTTATTTCTGTCCTGTCAGTTAGCAGATGATTTTTTTCTTTTTAAGTATAATAGTTCCTAAGATTCAGGCTTTCTGTCCACACCAGCTGTACTGTTCTCTGTCACCACTGGGATGTGACCTGCCCTTTGAGCATCATTCCCTGTCTGATATCACAGTATCCAACTGATGTTTCTTCTTTGGTCGTGTTTCAGCAATGTCTTTTGTGCCAGGATCAGTCCTTCGTCAAATATTTGTCTCTTCTTTCTGCTTTCTAATTTTTCACCTTCTGTTTTTGGCTTTGTGCCCATTTAATTTGGCTTTGCTGGTCTGAAACTCCTTTTTTTGGCTCTTTACCTGGGATCATAATATGACTTCATGCAGTTACCTGTAGTTTCTGCTCAGTTTTAACTGTACACAGTAGTACCTTGTTCTTCTAGAGTCCCTTATGTTCTGTGCCTGAACGTTTCTGTCTGTTTCTGCTCTTAGCATTTGCCATTAAAGAGGCAAATTCATCTTTTTGATGTGTATTTTTAATCTTTTTGCAAATATTCTTGAATCAAGCCTCACAGTATTTCTGAAATTTTTTTGAGTGTTGAAGAGAAGTGGTTTTCTGATAGTGGAAGTTTGTAATAATGACACTAAGAATCATGAATAACTTAATAAAGTGCATTCATGGACGTTAGGTACTCAGTCCAACAATTTTTTTGGAAAAAACCCCAAACACACACCACAACGCATAGGGAGAATGATAATGTTGAACTACTGAAAGAGATTTAAATAACAATTTAAATAGTTGCTTTTTAAACTGAATCATTTGGACTTTAAAAGTAAAAAATGTAGATGTATGTCCCATATCAGAGTGCTCTTCCCACTGAAAGCCTACAATTTTATCAAAATGATATGTCTGTTAAAGAAGTTAATGCTGAGGTTAAGTTATAATCGGTAATAACTGGGGCAGTGAAATGTGCAAGTGCAGGTTGTTCAGTCCGGCATTTATCACAAATAACTTTCTTCTCTGTGTGCATGTGCTTGTTTAAAGGAATCCCTCCTCCTAGAGGCGTGCTATTATATGGTCCGCCAGGTACCGGGAAGACTATGATTGCCAAAGCCATTGCGAATGAGGTTGGCGCTCACGTTACTGTTATTAATGGTCCTGAAATAATAAGCAAGTAAGTCCACCCAATTTATTTTCATTAATTCTATAAATATATTAGCCCAAAATCTGTCCTGGCATCTATCCATTGTGGATAGATGTAGAATTGGCTATGGGCTATCTGCCCAAGAGAGTCAAAAATGAATGGGAAAGGGTTCTTTCAAGTAGGGCTTACGTTTCTTCTTGTAATAAAAGAGGTTTATTGGATTTGGCCAAGAAATTTGTGTAAGGCATGGACTAAATTAAAGAGGGGACTAAAACTGCATCTGCAATTGTGTGTTAGTTCTGCAACAAGAAGAGTGACTTGTTAAAGCATATTTGAAATTAAGATGACACTGCACAGATTAATGTCTCCAGGGAACTAATTTTTTTTTTTTTTGTTCTTTAAAAAGATACATAAAATTGTTTCTAACACAGAAGAGAGAAGCTTTTCCCTTTAATCTTTTTTGTAGTTACAAGATGGTTATATCTTTGCTTGTGCCACATTTTACCTTAATTTCTTGTCCTTGTGGAAATAGAAATTATTGTAGATTTGCATATACTTCAGGACTTTGAAAGGGTGCACTATGGCTTTTTGGAACACACGAGCAGTAATTTTCCAAGTTGCCTGAAAAAGACCAAAAAATGGTTTTTATTAAAATATTTTAATTATTATAGGTTTTATGGGGAGTCTGAATCAAGATTACGTCAGATATTTGCTGAAGCTTCTCTGCGGTATGTTCTTTTGGATAATTTTATTCGCGCTCACTTATTTGCGGTATTGGTTCCAGCGTTAATGTTCTTAAAAGAAAAACATTTGCAAGAATCTTTGAATGTAAGTTTTTCCTGCGGTGGTTTTTAAAAAGGAAATAAATTTGTTTATATAGAGCTTAGCTAGAAGGAAAGCAGTGAAATTCTAGTATGCCTATTAAATGCTTTTGGACACTACCCTTTTCAAGGGACTGTTACAGATGGTGCCAAATCGCTCGATCTGTATCGTTAGTGTATTGTACGCTTATTTCAATAGATGGAAGCAGGAGCCAAGGTTTAACCTGGATCCAAATTTTTCTGTCTAGTTTTACCTTTGGAGACCAATGTAGTACTGTGCTAAGACATGGAAGCCAGCTCTAAATGAGCTAGTGTTGGTGCTGGATATAGCATGCCTCTGGATTAGGGTGGCATTCTGCCCAAACTTATTAGACCTGGTTAAGGCAGACTTTAGACTTCCAGATGATTGGTGTTCATAATACATTAGCAAAAGACTATCGCATACTGAATTTTGTAGAAGTGACAAATAAAACGCTGTCTTTTTACTCATGAAATTGGTATATTTAGTGTTGAGTCTTTGGGAGAGAGTCATAGAAAAGTAGATTGGTAGGTCATCTTAAAGGTATTAGTTGTCTAATATATTAGCCATTTTAGTTATCTCTTTGAGTAACACCATATTCAAGGTTGAAACTTTCAGTTGCCTAAAGGAGTGGGATGCTTGTTAATTTTTATAGGAACTGGACACTTGTCATAAACAGCTGTGCACTTCTCTGCCTTGGTGTTTTAAATCTTCCTAAGCACCTTGACATTTTTTTTTCTTTTCTTTTTTTTCCAGTCGTCCCTCCATTATATTTATAGATGAGTTGGATGCACTCTGTCCAAAGAGAGAAGGGGCTCAGAATGAAGTTGAAAGGAGAGTTGTTGCTTCATTGCTGACATTAATGGATGGCATTGGCTCAGTAAGTAGACTGTATTGAGACAATTAATGTGTACACAGACTAGCTGAACAAAACAATTTTGCTTCTATAATGCAGCCAATTTTAGATGTGTCATCTGGAGGAAAAGAAAATAGGCTTAGGTGAAACTTTGTATAGCAATCTAATGCTTTATTGGATGCTAAGCAGAAGACGTGGGAGGGGAATGTCTCCTGATAACTGTGAGATTAAAATAAAGTAAGTTTTCTTCAATTCGCTGTCTTTCCTTCTCCGACTCTTGTAGTTTTGGAGGTAAAACTGAAATTTTAGTGATAGCCCATCATTGAACTAAGCCAGGAATTTTTAATTGCTCAGAAATCAAAGTCATCAAAATACTTCTACTGATATGTAGATTGCATTATTAAAGGCAACGACAACTATTTCAAGATTGCCATAGCAATATTTAGGACATAAACAAAAGCCTACTGAAGAAACAGTAAATTTAATTGTCTTGAGTACATTATGGATTAAGCCCTTAAAGTTTGCCAATCTCTCATCTATTATTTTATGATTATTAGCAGGAAAGATGGAAGAAATCTGTCCACAGTATGTAAATGAGTTTCTGCTGTTTATGTAATCTGGAAATTTCTCATTATTTTCCTGCATGATAGTTTGAGTTGCCCAGTCTGGAGTTGTTCACAGGCAGAACATACTTTCTGATGGCAAAGGCTGATGGATATTCTTCCTGGAGAAAGTGCTTCGTTCACAAAAAGCGAATGGCACTGCAAGAGACCTCCTAGCTGATTTTGCCTCACTCTAAAAGTGAAAAAGCAGAGCTTGAGGAAATTGGTTAGGATTTTTGACCTTGCTTTTCCTACTGGACCTACAGGAAGCTTTATAACCTCCTGTCTCTGCTGGTTTTGATACTTTAAATGATTTGTTTCCCAACCTTGTTTATTCAAGGTCTGCTGATAACTTTTTGTTCTTGTGCCAACGCTGCCTTTTAGCTTAAACACTTCTTTTTCTTTCCTTGGTGCTTACTTCCCTGGTATCGGAAAGCGGGTTCTTGGGGATTAAAGTGGGAGACACTGGGATGAGGGCATCTTGGAGTAAAGTTTCTCTTGTATTATCTCTATGTGTGTGCAGCCTATAGTATTGCTAAATTGCAATTAGGGATAGGTTGGATGGGATCACTTGTGGGCTATATATTCTGAAAAGTTTGCTTTGTTCCTTTAGAGCTAGCATCAGGATTTTAGTGTGTGTAATAGTTGGGAAAAGTAAGCAAGAAGTATGTTTATAAGTTGCGTGACATTTAATTGTATTTTAAAATTAATATTTTGCATTGTTTGATGCCTTCAGGAAGGCAGTGAAGGGCAGCTCTTGGTACTTGGGGCCACTAATCGTCCTCATGCACTGGATGCAGCACTGCGCAGACCTGGGCGTTTTGATAAAGAGATAGAAATTGGAATTCCTAATGCCCAAGACCGTCTGGACATACTCCAAAAGCTTCTGAAAAAAGTTCCCCATTCACTCACAGCAGTGGAGTTGGCGCAACTGGCTGATAGTGCACATGGTTATGTGGGTGCAGACTTAGCAGCCTTGTGCAAAGAAGCAGGTAAGACTTTGTGTATCTTATTTAGGATCTTACTTTATTGTTAGTCTCTTTATTTTGTTCAAAAAAATAAAAATCCACAGTCTATAGTAATAGCTTTTAAAACAATGAGATTTAATTAATTTTTGTGTCAAAGAAAACATAGCCAAGCATGGAATATGAGGAACACCAGTCTGCTCCTGGGCAGATCAGAAAAACTCTTTAAGTATTAATAGATTTTAAAATCGAATGTTAAGATTAATAACACTGGGCAATCCCCTGTGCCATTTCTAGCATTTTAGGTAGCTAGCTGTCTCTCAGTAAACTAATGGTTTAGTGAGTTAACTGACGTAACCGTAAGAGTTTTTCTACTCTACAGCCTATCCCTTCCGTACAAAAAATCCCAAGTCGCTCAGGCTAGAAAGCTTGTCCTCCAGGTCTTTGTTCCCAGGATGTTGAGACTGTGGGCCTAGGTGGTGTTTACTGTGGCTCCCTTCTGCATCTCGTGCCTGTATTTCATTTGCCTGTAGATGAGGAGCTTGTGGCAGGGGCTAGGGGACTGTATGCACCTGGGTTGGGTTGTGCAGTGGAGCTGGGAGAGCTGGAGAGCACGCCCTGAGCTGGGGGCTGGAAAGCATCCCTTGGCCTCCGGTACAGGCGTAGCCCTGGAGAATTACCCATGCATCATGCAGCCAGGGTTCAGTATGTTCCAGGGAATACTTAAACACGAGTTCGCTTCTGTTTTCATTGGATGAAATATTAAAAGTACGCTCTGTCAATTCTTACATTTTGCTAGAATGCGTCTACGCGGTTTAAGTGTTGGACCTTAAATCTACCCATGAGCAGCCTTTTAAAACAGTCTAGTCAAAATATGACACTTCAGCTCTGCTTACGCATATTTGCTCCCTTGTAGTTCACAAATACATGTTTGCTCTATGTGCTGGTTACTTTTATTTCCTTTGGCACTAGGACAGCTTCCTCTGGCAGTGGCACAGTGCATGGTTAATTCTTGCATCAGAAGTAACTATGAAGATGACAGAAGTTTTATTCGGGATGATGGCACCTGGAACAGCAAGGTTTTTACTTGCCAGTTTTCAGAATTTTTAAGAGATAGTTCTCAAATATGAATTTGTGGACTTTTGTATGGATCAGGAAGAAAAAAATATGTACAGACACAGACTATTCTTTTTATAGCCCTCTTCTGTTGGCTTTGGTTGTGTTTTTAAGCTCTGTTTTAAGTTAGCAAACATTCTTTTAAAAACCAATATATACAAACAACAACAAAAAAGATAAACTCCCTTTTTCTTTTCCTTCCTCTGTGTTTTTGGAAGCCTGCTGGTCTGCCTGTGTCACAGTCCTCACATAGTACGTAATCTAAAATTTTCAGTGAAAAGTGTTGTGGTTTCAATTCCAAATGTGACCCAGCCTACGCTTTACTTGTGCACGCGCACATGATTCTGGACACTTCATAATCCAGCTGCAAATAGGCGATATTTACCCACTTCTTGAGGGCCTTTTAGAAAACAAATTTTGAATGTTGTTCAAATTGAACATTACATGCTGTGTAGATCCAAAACTTCTGGCGTCTACCTGCGACTGATTGCAGGACATGCTGTCATCTGAGAGCTTTGCATCCAAAGCCAGTGCTGGGGATGAGGGAAGGAGGATGTCTCCTTTCTATTGATCGTCTTTCCTGAAGTTTGACTCCATAGTGTTAAATTTGTCATTTGTTAACTTGGAGTGACCTCTGCTGGGGAGAATACAGTCCAGCGCTGTTAACTCTTTGCAGCCCACGTGTATTTTTCCTTTTCAAAGAGTTGCAGAAGTATGATTCAGTCAAAGTATTACATGAACTGAATTTAAGTTGCTTGTGGTTAAGGAACGTTCTTAGTTGGATTCTTTCCTTCTGATTAAGCTCTTGATATCTATTTTTTATATTAAATTTTCAACACCTTGTAAAATACTGCTGCTTTCACTGGAGTTAAACTTAGAAAAGTCTAGCCTTTATGAGGTAATATTTCTCCTCAGCAGAGCAAGGTTATTCCATATGGCAAATTTTCCAGTGTTTTGTCTAGTCTTGTTTGTTGTTCCAAGCAATGGGCTTCTATCGCTTCACTTAAGAAACGGTGCCGTGGGCCAAGATAGCTTGCTGTCCAGGAATGCTCTCTGATATTCAGCCTAAGTTTTCCTTGTTTAGTTTTATCCCATTATTTCTATTTACATCCTTGTATAACACGTTCACTCTCCCTCCTTAGTGTTTACACCCTTCAGATATCTCTAGGCTGTTCTCATGTCCCCTACCTCCTCATTCATTACTGAGCCAAACTATAAATATTTAGCTCTTTTAATCTTTCCTCATAAATAAGTCCTTCCTGCCTTCTGAGAAATTATGTTGATTTTCTCTGAACTCCCTCCAGTTTGTCAATAACCTTTTGGTAATGTAGGGCTCAGAATCGAACTTAATATTTTGTATGTATTACAACATAAAACATGATATAAACATATAGTTAAGACTGCTGGTGTGCATTTCTAAATAACCAAAATGCTTAATATTCAGGCAATAACTGAGTTAAGAGTTCTTTCACAAATTCTAAGGTTACTTGTGCCACTTTTACACATGATCTGTGTGTACGTACATGTGAAATACGGAAACTAATTTGGAAGCAGGAATTTGGAACTCAGAAGTACGTGTTCAGTTTTTGGTACAAGATTATTGTCGCTTGCTAATTGTATTGCAGTACTGGTCTTTGGGAGACTTGAGTCCTGGTTACCCCATTTGTATCTTTAGGTACTTCATTTTTGGCTGGAAAGCCTGAAAGTTTACAAGCTAAATACGTTTATGTTCTTAGTACAAAGTTTAGATCATTTCCAAAGGACTCATCTTTCCTTATCTTTGTATTTCAACTCTGTTTTTTTTAACACATGTATAATATTGTGTATATACTGCTTGCATAAACCAAGGGTGTAGTAATTAATCTAACATGGTAAATGTAGTAATTGTAGGGCTATGATAGGCTAACCTTTCACTTTTGCATGTATAGTTAGGTTTCCTGAGATACTTAATTATAAAAGCTTTGATGTTTGTCTTCTATGTAATTCTGAAGAACATGTGTTAATGAAAAGTAAGTAGCTATTGTAGAGTTAAACATACTCCAACTGTTTTCGTGGCCGAAGTTGGTTGTTCTCCGGTGCAAGAACTGCTTAGTGGTACTTCTGGGGTCAGACAGGCAGCTTTCTATTCTGTTCAGCATCTCTCTGCATTTTCATGGAAGTCCTTAAGAAGTTTTAGGAGCCTTTAATGTTCAGCTTGTGGTGAATGTTTCTAGGCCCCTATGTGTATCATGTGTATGGAATTGGAGTGTTGTGTATGCTGGAATGGGCGAGGAGAGGAAAGGTGGACAAGAAATCTGGAGAATCTGTGCAGTGTGCTCTGGACTTTTCCCAACAGGATATTATGACCAAACACCTGTGAAATATTTATATATAGATGAATATAAGAATAAGTGAAGAGTGTTTTGATTTGATCTGCTGAATTTTTAAAATATTAGTGGATTTTTCTTCCAATACCTTCTTTTCCTGTACTGCAGATACAGTTCTAGCTTCTCACAGAATGAAACCACAAAATTTTGTGACTATAGGAAAAATGCTAGGTATTATGAAGCTTACAGTATTGTTGCAAGAGTTGACAACAGGGTGACAGGCATCAGCTCTGTATGTGTATCTATCTCAGTCTTAATTGTTGCGCACAATACTTGTATCCCCCTCACATGTTGAGCAAGTATTATTTGTCTGTTTTACAAATAACTATGGTCATTCAAGCAAAATTAAAAGTAAAACTGGTGTTTCCAACATGGCAAGCATCACTAGCTTAGATGCAATGCTTTCAGGATTAGCGTACCTTATCTCTGTGCAAGGTTACATTATCTGTAGGGACTACACTGGAGAAATTGGGATTCGCTGTGATTCTCTACTGCCTAGCAATGTGCTTGTGATTTCCACAATTAACTGCATGCTTTCGTATAGGTTAACAGCAGAGTGTGGAAAACCTGCAAATACCTTGATGGGCACTGGACCACATCCTATGGACATCAGCTTGCAACGGGCTCCTCACGGTAGACTCTTGAGAATTTGAGTACTCTCTGAGGGATTCACATGCACAGAATTCTTGACAAGAAAAGGGCTTAGTAATGTGTGCAGCTGAGAAAGTCATATTCATAAGACTGGGAGAGGTCTACTGTGTCCTAAATTATTTAGTAGAGTACCTTTTAGTGTGAACAGCTGCCTTCCGAATTGTTTTATCTCAAGCAGAGGCAGTGTCTAGAAGATAGACTCTGCCATATCCTTGCATATAAGGTCAGTGTTCGTATGCCCCGAGATCTTATTGATTCTCCTTTAATTAATTGGCCACACAGTCTTTTATTAATTCCCTAAAAAATTATAATGGTTTTAATTTAACAACAAAGATAAGCACTGCATTTTTTTTGGAAAAACATATGAAATGTTAATTATGTAGCAGGGACATGAATGGTATAAACTGTACTGAATGTTAGAAGATGCTTAGCAACAAAGGTTTCCAAATATAGCAATTTATTATAAACTTATCCTTCTATGGCTGCCTGTAGCATTTCAAGAGGGTGAATATAAATATAGCTTGATTTCTTCAACAAGTGGGTTTAGTCATATTGTTTACAGAGGAAGGAAGTATTTGCTTTGTAACTCTTAGAATTTATCTTGAACATCCTTGTTCATTACACATAATTTCAGTGTGCTGATATGAAACACTTGGACTGTGATAAGATAGCATCATGAGGAGAGGAAGAACAAATGTCTTTGTTTAAATAGTGGTCTCTCTTGCAATAACATCTCTTTAGTTCCAGTGACGATGCTGCATTGCAACCGCTGAAACTTTGAGACTTCTGTGAAAGAAGCACTAATCACTTTGTTTTGCATCAAAGTTTTTTTAAATTGTCTGATTGTAATGCAGTTAAAGGTATCACCTTGCTTAGCCTTTAGGATTATAACGA